GGGGGGGGGGGGGAAACAAAACTTCTTGCTGTTTCTGGAAATGTTAAGAGCTGTAGGATAGTAGATAAGCAATCTGCACATCTCCTTTTAAAAATTCTCTTTGCCTTGAATTTCTCAAGTATTATCATCAGAGCTGCTGGCACTCCATGGTATACATGCAACAGGTACCACCGCCACCACCATCTGTAGAAGCTTACCCAGCGTATACTGAACCTGCACCCATGGTGGATCAGTCAGTACCCCAGATATACCCTGACATGGGGAGAAATGATGTCCGGCAAGTTCCTCTGGATACATCAGCAAATGGTTAGTGTTCAAGCTGTGTGTTTGCGCTTGTCAGCTGTTACAGAAACACTTCTTATAATCACTCACCTATCAACTGCCACCATGTAGTTAATAGTAGCGCTCTTATTTTTTTCCTTTTAGCTCTATTGGCTTTAATTCTTTCTTTTTGTCAAGTGAAAAGGGAGGCAAACCCAACTAAATGTAGCACAGGGGAGCAGTTTAAAATTCCTGTGTAATGAGGGACCTATTGATTTGGTTTCATAAGTCTCTCTTGAATTAACTGATGAAAACTTGTAGGTGTTTTGAGGTAGGGTTGTATGACAGTATTTTGTTGGGATTCTTTAATGGTGGGTTAAGAATTTTTTGTGAAGTGGGGTAAGTAGATCTTTCTTAGTTTGTGGTAAACATCTGTCCTGTGAGCTTTTTTTTTTTCTCCCCCATATGTTTTTAAGAAAATAGATTAGGAACATGGCTATTGGCTGTTAATAAACCTTATCTAGATAACTTGCTGTCCTACTGCATATGAAGCTATGGCAACCCTAAGCTCAGCCCATCCATTCTATAAGAAGTCTATAGGTTTATTTGTACTTAATGGGGAAAAGGGATCATGCTAAACAAGTAGAACATGCCAGATGTCCAACTCATTATAGTGTCTGTTCGCTGGACAAATGGAGTAGGTGATAGAAGCAAGCTTACCTCTCTGACAGTAGATCTTTCCTCCCATACGATGAATTGCTTAGTGGCAAATACAGGGGGCTTCCAGTTCTCCTGTAGTTGTAAGCTATTCTGTTGGGGCAGTGCAAGAATCTATCAACCTAAAATTTTGGTGGGATTTTTTGTAGAAAGATTTTTTTTGTCTTGTTTTTAATGAAAAACCTAATTTTCCTAAGTCTTGCATTATTTTCTTCAACTCCTCTAAAAGTTCAGACAGCACAGTACAAACAATGGGTAACAAGGCTTAGCAGTGTCAAGTGCTTCTCAGACTAATTCAGGACCCAGGACGACTGCCACCTCTTCCAGTGTGCAGATCAAATGGGCATAAACATTTTATGTAACTATCTATTTTCAGTATGGTTTATATCATAACAAGTGTCTATAATGAATACAGACTGTATAAAATGTTTAAACATGCTAATTATGTATTTTTCAGGTTCTTTCCAAAATGCAGAGCCTCCACCTCCTTCCCACGGGACAGTGTATTACCCAATTGTGCCAGATCCATATGGCCAGCCACCTCTACCTGGGTTCGACTCTTGCGTGTCTATAGTACCTACCTATCATTATGTTAGTCCTTGGCATCCAGTAAATCCATCATATAATAATTCTCCACGAATTCGTAACACTGTAAATCCTGGACAGTTGCATCAAGTCGGCTATATTACCTCACCTAATCCTGCACCTCATTATGTACCTCAAAGTATGTAATGCCAAGAGGCATAGACCCCCCCCCCTTTGCAGTGAAGTTTTGTTTTCTCTATGTATGCTAGTATTATTTCAGCAGTGGACTTTATAGTAATTAAGCTGTTTTGTTGTTCGATTTTTCTTTTTCCCCTTCCCTCCTTCTCCACCCTGTACTTGCATTTTTCCTTTGATTTATGTTTGTAAACATGTTGTCAAATTGAATATTGTTTTAGTAGATTATATAGGAAAGAAATAAGACTATATACCTGCGCGTGTATATATTCGTAACACCAGCGAAGAACATGAGCCTTGCATTCAACTCTGTCGAATCAGTATATTAATGGAAAGTACATTGGCACTAAAGACGTACTACATTTTCGCCTACCTGTTACACTTGAAGCTGGGGAAAGGTTGGGTCCAAGCTGATTTGAGGGCAATAATTACTGTTGTAATAGACTGCTTTTCTCAGGTCTTCCAAAACAAAACAACAGGCAAGTATATTCTTCAGTAGTAATTGCTTATTTGTAATAGTTGTGCTTTCTCTCCTGTCTAATCTCTTTCATCATAGTCTGTCTTTGAAGGTGGGAAAATACTCTGCTTTGATTGAGTCTGCTGTATACTATTGTATTTGTGTGAGATTTAGTTGGAGAAGTGATGGCACAATGGTGGTAGAACTGGTGTTTATTGCACTGATGACACTAAATAAAAAAAAAAATGCATCACACTTTTGGAAATGTCTCTTTACAGCTAACTCGTAACATCCCTGCAAACTAGATTCACCAACAGACTTGCAAAGAAGCCCAGTTAGCATTGTTAGAACAGTAAGAGAAACTTGGGCTGACTGTTCCCCAAAGTGCATGCTTTGAGTGAATAGTGCAATGAGGGCACAAGACGAAGCAGAGTGCTTTGCCAGTGCAGTGCAAACTTGACTCCAGGTTCTATGATCACAGTCCAAATGAGGCACAATAGTGTGAGTTATGTTACAGCTTGCCACACTTGTCTGAAGACTATTCAATTACTTCCCATTATGAGATGGACTGTTCATCCAGGTGGATGAGGTAACAAGGTACTACAGTTTGCTGTCATGGCAGCATTCCAGGTTGTGCCTGATTTTTGTCTCGCATGACAGCTAGGGCCACAACAAGGTGTTGAACTTGGACCCTCTGTCTGAGAATAAAATTGCGGTAGGCTTTATGCACAGAGGTTACAACAATTATAACATCCCCACTAAACTTCGAAATGGTTGAAGAGGATATTCATTGTTGAGGTTCTCTGCCCCTTCCTTTCTCTGTCTCAAAATAGAGACAAAATGGTCAGAAAATAACTTTCAAGAATATGGGAGTCTAGTTTCATAGTTTCTAGGGTCAGAAGGGACCTGAGTAGATCATCTAGTTGGAGAACCTACAGACTCACTCCCTTATTACTCAGTGTAGTAATGACCTATCTTATTTCAGAGAGGCTTAGATTGGTAGTTTTACTGAAACAAAGCATCTTCAACACAGTGCCCAAGGAGGTGTTGTCTGGTACAGTACCACCCCTCTCCATTCCTCTTGCACCCTCCTCCCAAGACATTTCTCAGGTGAGAGGCTCACTCTCCACAGCTGCCAGTTGAAAGAGAAAAGACCTTTAAGTTATTTAGAGGTAAAGCTGTTTTGTCTTTTGGGGGATGGTTTACCTACTTCTGTTACCTGCTCATGGGAAAAGGACCAGGAAATGGTACATCTTGGATTTTTTTTTAGTGTCTAGGCTTTTGTGTGGGGAACCTTTTTGTGGCGTTTTCTTTTTTTAAATCCCAGATGGACTTTAATTGCTCTTTTAATTCCATGGTCTAGCTGTATTGCTTTTGCCTGCAAGGCACTCGTAATGCATTCTTTTCAAAATATAGAAAATAACCAGTGAACTTTGGTAGGAGCCTCAGGCTATCAGCACAGAGCCAGGCTCTCGGGTCTCCACTCCTTGAACCTGCTCATCCACAGAACGTAATGGTTGGGATGGCACCCTTGCTGAGAAGAAAAGGTTTCTAGATGTGTAGGTACCCAGGTGGTGATTAGATGATAAAGGGCTGCAGCAAATCAGGTTGCACACAAACTCAAGACCTTTTTACTTTGTCTGAGTCTTGGGGACAGCAGACAAACCTACCCTAATCATAGATTCATAGATTAAGGGTCGGAAGGGACCTAGTAGATCTTCTAGCCCGACCCCCCGCC